ACACACACATGCACACACATACACACACATACACATGCACACACACACGCACACACATACACACACACATGCACACACATACATGCACACACATACACACATACACATGCACACACACGCACACACACATACACACACATATACACACACGCACACACACATATACACACATGCACACACATACACACATACACGCATGCACACACACACATACACACACATATACATACACACACATACACAAACACACACACATATACACATACACACACATACACACACATACACACACACATACACACACACATACATACACACATATGCATACACACACACATCTAAAGGAGCATTTCCCAGGCAGAATTTCCGTAAGAACCCTAACGGCTACATGGTGTAACGGGCTACTGTTTCCTCCAGGGGGTGAGAAAAGACCACCTTTGGAGTCCGAAATGAATTCTCTGTTTCTGTCATCAGATCATAGTGACACCAAAAAGTGGACAATCCTGCTCTCTACCCATTTGTCCTCAAGTGGGAACCATATGGTCACACGCGGAGTCTCAACTGTAAAAAGGGAATGTGGCCTCTGTGGCTAAGTTCGGACAATGTGAAGGAGGCGTTGGAGTTAGTTAGAATGATAGCCCACAGGGACCCACACTCGCTTAGGTGCCGCCCACGGCACAGTGGCCCTAGGCTTCCCCATAGGGTTAGTGCTATTTCCTCAGCCACCTGCGCCTCAGCCCAGCCCCAGCCCCAGCCCCACTTCCCAAATCTTTCCACGGAAACACCCTCCTCTCCCACAGATCGGGGACCTTGTGGACATAGGCCAGGGGTTCGGCCTGAGTGTCAAGGAGCCTGACAAGTTCATGAAATACGCGGTCTTCGATGGCATCCTGGGACTGAGCTACCCCAGCCTTGGCATTGAAGAGCCACCCCTGTCTTTGACAACCTGTGGAACCAAGGCCTCCTTTCTCAGAACTTGTTTGCCTTCTACTTGAGCAGGTAAGTGTGGGCTAGACAAGCCTTTTCTCCAACTTGGCTGTAAGAAGCTTTCACTTGCATGAAAAATTACAGACTCTCTGATCCAGAAGTTTCCTTAGAGATAGTCTGGTCCAAGGAGTCAGCAAACTATATCCTGGGGGCCAAACCTGGCCCGTCACTTGTTTTTGTAAATAAAGTTTTATTGGAACAGAAGAATGTTCATTCATTTATGATTGTCTGTGGCTGCTTTTGAGCACCAATGGCAGCACTGAGCAGTGTGATAGAGATTGTGCAGCCCATGAAACCTAAAATAGGGACAAACTGGCCCTTTACAGAAAGTGTGCTGACCCCTGTAGTCCAGTCCTTTCATTCAACAGATGAGGAAACAGATTCAGAAAGGGGCTCTGCACAAGACTGCCCAGTCAGGTACTGGTAGTGGCAGGACTTGAACTCAGCCTCAGGACTCTCCCGCATGGCAAGTGGTCCATCTATCAGCAAGCCTCCAGTCGCTGGGCTTGGTAAAGGAAAGCTGGTCTCCTGACTGACTTAGGGTCTGGTGGAAGGTAGGGGAGAAGGAAGAAGCACAGACAACAGGACAGCCCTGTTGACAGATTGCGCCCTCCCCACAAAGGCAGTGGTTGACCCCATAGATCCATGTAGGAAGCAGGACAGTATGATGGTTGAGGCTGTGGGCTCTGGGAGACATGAGTTCAAACCCTGGCTCCACAGCATGATCTTAAGGTGTTTAA